GGCATCGTTGTATGCTTTCACCTTTTCGGCGATGGTACCACCGGTGGCATTCATCTCGTTGAGAACACAGCCCATGGTATAAGACGCGTTGTAGGTACGGAAAACCTTGGCGGTTAGACCTTGCATGTAGTTGGCAAGATGCTTGTTGAGGGCAGAAGTCTTTTATTTGTCAGTGAGAGTCAAGATTGCAAGAAAAAAGGAGGACATACCGTAAGGCGGTCGAAAATTTCATCGCCGTTCTTCTTGGGTGCCTTTTTGAAGATCTTCAGATTCTTGAAGACTTGCAGATCGACCTGTACTTCATCGTAGAACCGAATACTATCCTTACCCAAGAAATCGAAGACGACAGTGTTGGGAGGCTTCAGCGTAACATTCTCATACTTCAGAGAACAGCAACCGACGGTTTCGGCCTCGTCCTCACCTTTCTCATTTCCGGCACGCAGGGCAAACTGATCAATGAGATAGACTGCCGTGGCCTTCTGCCGTTCCACCATCATGTCATGTTTGAGATTCTTCTGGTAATCCTTGCGGATTTTCTCAATGTGGTTCTTGAGTTCACGGGCTTTCTCGAATTTCTTGAAATCACTTTGTCCCTTGACATCGGAGTTGGCGGCTAACATGACGTACTTGTAGTTGCCATTGATATTTTCCTGCCACATGGCAAGCCAGGTGCCTTCCTGATCGTGCTTCACCTCCTTCCACTTGTGACCGGCGGGTGGCGGTGGGACCTTCGCATCTTTTCCGATATTGATCGTGATTTGCTCGGGCTGCACACGGGTCTTGACACGTCCGGTCTTTGGGTGCTCACCGCGGCCACGGAACAGAGAAGGCGGTTCAACACGGAAGTTGCCTACCTTCTGCTTGCGGCCATCCCACACACAGAACTGGTAGGGGGCTTCTTGTTCATCTTTTAAGGCCTTAGCAGCCTTCTTCTCTGCTGGTGGCAGGTGTCTCTTTTCTTCGCGTTGAGCATCGTAGAAATCAAAGATAGACTTGAAGTCGCACTTTGCGAACTCCTTGATGTCGATCTTATTGCCCTTGGGGTCCTTCGCCCCACCGGTCTTCTTGATCACCTCTTTGAAGTCACCGAAGAAGTTCTTTTGGAACACAGGATTTTCGACGTTGTGCTTTGAGTTGAGCATGGTGCCGAAGAAGCTAGCAACCTCTTCGGCTTCAGGTTCAAGAGTGACCGGAACACCGTCATATTTCATCTTGACATTCTTAGGCAGCAGTTCGTATTCGGGAGGGAACACCACGCCATTGTGTTCTAGAGTCGTCCACTTGATGGTTCCATCGCCCTTGCTATGGTCTTCCCACCAGCGGTACTCATCCTCTTCGTCCTCTTCTTTTTCTTCGGCATCCTGACTTTCTGCCTTCACGATGGCTTTGCCCTTTTTGGCCGAGGCAGGTTCAGCCTTCACCTTCTTGGGAGCAGCTTTGCTGGTGGCCGGCTCCTTCTTGACGCCGTTTGCCTGTTTCTTGGCCGCTGCAGGCTTAGCCTCTTTCTTTGGCGCAGCAGATTTGCGCGTAGGTTTAGCCACCTTCTCCACCGTTTGTTCAATCTTCTTCTTTTGTGCGGCAAGCTTCCGTTCAATAGGAACGTCGGAATCAGACTCATCCCCGATAGATGTTTCGGCGGCCTTGGGAAGTTTGCGTCCGTTGCGTGCCAAGGGCACATCGTCATCGGTCTCGGGATCTTCATGTTTCACAGATGTACGCCGGCGTTTGCTCTGTCGAATGGTCAGACGCTTCAACCGAAAGCGACAGTATGGCCGCACTGGGAATAACAAGGGTCATCCCGCGATGGGGGTAGGCGTACCAAAGGCTCATCTTCTTCGCTACTTTCTGCTTCGGCGTAGGACTTCCTTTCGCCCACACTGGTCCGAGATTTGCGCTTACCGGCACCCAGCGCGTCTTCTCCATCTTCCATCTTCACATCCTTGTCTTCCACAGGACCGAATCGAATGGATATTCCAGGATCAACATGGCCGTTCGTGGCGGGGCTAGAATCCGCCATCTTGACGACGTCGGGAGACTTTGGGGAAACTAGAAGTGTAGAAGCGCTATGTTAGATTGTTGTTCGAGTTAATGTTGGAAGTGTGAGGGAAGTGACGTCAAATCGCGAGATGTAAGATCGAGCACTGGATAGGAAAATTATAATTGTGTAGAGATTAAGGAGACATAGAAATGGGAAGATCAAGTGCAAGGAAAGCCAAGGTTCGCGACAAATTGTAGAGGTGTGTAATGACAGCCGAATCACCCGAGGAACGCACCTTTAGCACGTCCATTGGCGCGCATGAGGGGTGCGTCATCCTCCGAGGAGCTCATGGCGGTAGTCCTTGGACTAGCAAAAGGGAGACGAGGGTAAAATGAGAGAAATCGTTGTTTTGGTAAGGGTAGGCGTCCTCGTGCGCCGAGTCGGGCAAACTGAGCCGCCTGGTAGAAGGAGGAAAGTAAAGAAATTCTGACCAATGAAGAGTAAGAATATGGTTATAAGATATGCTGCATCAATGATACATGCATAGAAGGGATGTTGCGGATAAATCCGGAGGAACAGAGACGAGAGGAGAGAAAAGACGAGAGGAAAGAGAGAAAAAGGTTGGGGGAGACTTGGAATGGAGGAATGTAATGGGAAAAGAGGCCCTGAGAGACTACAAGGTATGCCTGAGGCGCCAAGTGAGTTATGTAAATACTTGAATGCCTGAGGCATTACACTGCGGTGGAAGTCGGAATGGCGCACCGTAGATGCTTACCCCTTTTGGTTTAGCGGCAGCACGGAGACAGAACCTCCCTGGTTCTCAACTTCCTTCCCGACCAGCGAGGCATCCCCGTCTAACCTTCGTCACTCCCCTCCTCTCCGCAGTCACTATCTGCTCGTCCAATTTCTTCTTTAAATCTTTCTCATAATGTTCTCCCGTGCCGTCCGCCCGGCCCTGCGGGCTGGTGGTGCCGCCGTCGCTCGGTAAGTCTTCATCCGATACCTCGTGCCAAAGTCCTTCCACCCGACGTACTCCGACGCAACCACCTCAACATAATAGAAATTGGAAGATATGCTGGATGTTAGAGGAGACGAGAACGACAATTGCTGACCGCGAAATCAAGCCCTGCCCCCGCCAATGCCGCCACCTTCGCGACTCTGCGTGAGATTGAGGGTCGTCTCAAGTCCATCAAGAACATCGAGAAGATCACCAACACCATGAAGATTGTTGCGTCCACTCGTCTCACTCGCGCTCAGAAGGCCATGGACGAATCCCGCGTCTATGGTAAGACTTCCAACACCGTTTTCGAGCAGGCCGAGACCAAGCCTCTGGAGGACAAGAAGGTTCTTCTGGTTATTGCCAGCTCCGACAAGGGTCTTTGCGGTGGTATCCACTCCGGTCTGAGCAAGGCCGCCCGCCGTATCTTGGCCGAGAACCCCAACGCCGACGTTGCTATTCTCGGTGAGAAGGCCAAGGCTTCGCTGTCCCGTGCCGTTCCCGAGAACATCGTCCTGAGCTTCGCCAACGTCTGCAAGGACATTCCCACCTTTGCCGATGCCCAGGCCATTGCCGACCAGATCGCTCTCCTGCCCGAGGATTACGCTAGCGTTCGCATCGTCTACAACTCTTTCGTCAACGCTCAGAGCTACGAGCCCGTCACCATTGAGGCCTACTCCGAGGAGGCTATCACCCAGTCTGGTGAGATTTTGTTATGCCCAAGCAGTTCGTTGAGTTTCAACTAACATAAAAAATTTAGCCAACATCTCCTCTTACGAGGTTGACGATGAGGTTCTGACCGGCCTCCGCGAGTACGCTCTTGCCAACAACCTCTTCTGGGCCATGGCTGAGGGTCACGCCTGTGAGATCTCCGCTCGTCGCAACGCCATGGAGAACGCCTCCAAGAACGCTGGTGAGATGATCAACAAGTATGTTTTTACTTCCCAATGTTTTCAAGATTCGTCTCTAACAGCCCTCTAGGTTCCAGATCTTGTACAACCGTCAGCGCCAGGCCACCATTACCGGCGAGCTGGTTGAGATTATCACCGGTGCCACCGCCAGTGCGGATATGTAGAAGCTTTCTTCTACGGGACCAAGTCGGCTTTAGTGTAGACTTGTTCATATTTAGATCGACCTTCAGCTTGTGTAAAATCAGAGTCAATCCATTTTCATTTCATATGTACGAGACTTCCCCCTTGTGTATAGCTCCAATCTAGGCCCAATCTAGGTCATTTGACAGACAAGTTGGATGAGTTCTACTATTCAATGGGATCTTGAGACTTGGATGGGAATCACCTGGGTATATAATAACCCTAACCCTGAAGACTTCTCGACTACTAGTACTAAAACAGTCATCTTCTTTGTTTCATCTTCTTTGTTTGATTTCTCCCCCATCCCATGTGATCATTCGACTATGCCTTTTATAGCTTATTTTCTTTTTCTCAATGGAATCTGATTCTTTGTCAATGGGATTCGGTTTACAATAGCATTATCTACAATAGGATTTCCTCATCGTCATACTTAATACCCAGTTCTTCTCTTCTTCTCTTCCTCTCTCTCTTCCTCCTTTCCTTCTCCGTAGTCTCTTCCTCGCTCCTGCTGTTCTTGAAACTCCTACTGAAGCTTCTTTCTGCGTCTTTGTTCTTCATTTCACACTCTTGTTCATCTTTCTCTGCTGCTCATACTCTTGTTTTTTCTATTCTCAATCTCTCCTCCAATCTCATACTCTCCAGTTCTATCTTCTTTTCTTGGGCCTCTACAATTGCCCGTCTTTCCAACCGAATTCTCTACATTTGTGCGGTAAGTTCTGATATCGTCGCCATCCCACACCTTCCTCACCGGCTGGATATATGCTCTGATTACCTACGTGCCTTCATATTGATCTCACATTGCTCTCTCTCGGTCTCCCTCGTTCCATTTGCCAATTCAAAGACCAGCAACGAATATTTATCTCCAAGTCAACACCCACATATAACAGAATACTGACATATCAATCACATTTTCCAGACTTGTGTGACGGCAAACATGTCGACCGCCAATATGGCGATGGATGCCTACGCCATCCTAGGCGTTGACCGAGATTCCAAACTCGCTGACATCAACCTTGCCTACAAACGCCTTGCCTTGAAACTCCATCCAGACAAGGCTGGAAATTCCCCCGCAGCCACTGACCGATTCAGAAAAGTACGTTTACAACACCAGGAAATAGAGTTGCTGAACATCACTAACAAGCCGTTGAAAACAGATCCAAGATGCTGTTGAAGTTCTCCGTGACAAAGACCGTCGGCGCCTGCTTGATGAGGCCCTGAAACAGAAGGCCAAGAGACAACTAGATCCCGACGATGACATATCAGCTGGGGCCTACAAGCGCAACCACACTCGTCCCTCAAAGCGAGAACGTCATGGATATGATTTCTTCCACTGGCCGGGCCTATTTACAGAATCAACACCTAGATACGGCCCGAGACATCAACGCCAGCACACCTTTAGCTACTACTACAGTTATGGAACAAGTGTGCACATGGACCCGGAGTCCGCCGAATCCAGGGCCAAACGAGCGCAATTCAAAGCAGAAAATGTCCAGTGGGAGAAGGAGTGGGCTGGGATTGATCCAGAAGTGCAGAAGGCACGAGCAGAGTTCCGCAAGGAAAGCATGCGAGCTCGAACGAAGCGTGACCTAGAAGAAATGGCAAATGACCGAAACGAAAACGCCAAATATGCCCATTTGTTTGACCATCTTGTCGGAGAAGTCTTTTTGGGCGAACTGGATGATTTCGTGCATATCCTGCCTAAAGAGCATATCAAGACCTGCAACCCAGCTGACACATTTGACGAATTTTCCTACGAATATGCCAAAAGGTTCCGTTCTGATTCAGAGGGCCCAGTTCACTCGGATTGCGCTTCAAGTCCTCGGTCTACTGCTAGCGACGCTTCGTCCTTTGACTTCTCAGCAAGTAGTAATTCCACCGACTACACCCATCCAGCCAACAATCACTCGAATACTAAGTCTGCCACCGTTGAGGATGACGAATCCACCAGTGTTGATTCCAAATCTGATGCTGACAAACTCATCGACTCCTACATGGTGGGTCATGATTCATTGCTCCCTCTCGTCTCATTCCTCAAGCAAAAGCTCGCCGATCCCAATGGACGCTACACCCTCAATGACCTCGGCGGTGAGCTCAACGGCCTTATGCTGGAGACCTACTGTGGCTGGTTGGAAGATGTTCGTCTTTCAGTCCCGAATGCCTCGCCAATTACAGCTCGAAATGATTCTAAGCTTTGCTCCCACCTTGGGCTATGGTACAAGAATTTCTGCCGTCCCGTGTGCGATGTTTGCAACTTGTGGATGCCCTCTTTCACCCTCATCTGTCCTGGCTGTGGTCTGAAGGCCTGTGTCAGATGTAAGTTCGATGATGGTCGTGACTATCTCTCGGGGCCTGTTATGCAGGAACATTGATCCGTGTTGGATCCCGTGTGTTTTCTGATCTGCTTTTGTTTCTTTTTTTCTTTTGTTTGTTCGCTCTGGTTTTCCTTCGGTCCGGATTCTCTGATGTGGTCAGCAAAACGGAGGAGAATACCTCGGAGGCCTTTTCGATCTTTTTTTTTTTTTGTTGTTGAACTTTCAAAGTAAGAACATGATTTCCAACCGCAACAGTCGTTCTATTGAATTTAATGAATCTGGGTCAAGAGACCACTTCCTTCTCACGCACAGATATCTGATTCGCCAGTACATTTGCTTCGAGTTCACTTCGAAATCATCTCGACTTCTAATTCTACCCTATGTTCTCCTTCTACGAGACGGGTTTTCCTCTTTGTGCTTGATTCAACCGAAACGAACAATAGACAGTACTTCTCAGCCACTTCTTAGTCCTCGAATAACGTTTATGATTGATTTGTCTCCCGGGTGCCGTTGTGGCTAGACCTCAAGATAGCCCACAGATGGGCCCAAGCCCAACCTACAGCCCATTATGAGCCCCCATTAGCTCCGTGGACTTTCATTCCGTGCCCATTGCCTACCGATGGACCCGAAGCATGGGCCCCAAACTCAGCCCATTCGGTGGGTTGGGTTGGCTTGGGTTGGGCTGTGGGCTTTGTGGGTTTTCTTGAGGTCTAGTCGTATGCCTGGATGAAATCCACAATAACCTGGCGTATCAGCAGCAAGGCGCTGATTATCTTTGTGGAAAACTCCAGGTTGCGATTCATGGGTCCGCTTTTGGATGAACTCAAGCTTGACCAAGTAGGTGTCCAGGTGGGTGCTTTGTTCAACCTCGAGCTCGCGTACATGTGTGTCCATTCAAACCCAAGATTCACATTTTGCTTACCGAAAAAAGGAGCAAGATGGCCGTGAGTCCATGTCTGGGCGGACTGAATGCGCAGGGCACTGAATACCATGATATCATATATAGTGGAAATACAGTCGGCTTGTCCGCGCAGATTGGAAAAAGAGCGGACTTCGTCATTTTTAGCTAGAGTCATATATATCTTTCATGCTTACATATGTACTTACTATACCTTGTCGTACAGCCAGATTTCTGCCATGTTCTTATATATAACGTCCCTTATATATCACCTTTACCCAAATGTACAGGATTTGTAGAGTCCTTACGTTGTTAAGGATAGAGGGTTATTCATTTTGAATTCATCTATCAAACCGGTAAATCACTAGCTCTCGATTGCAATTCTCGCCCACCAGATATCTCTCACAACCAGCGAGCTTCCCCCTGCCGACAAAATCCCAATTCTCACAAGTGACGTTCGAGCGAGGTGTCTGGATGGTCAAATAGACAATCTGATCCTGGATCCACGTCCAAGGATCAAAGTGAAGACAAAAGCCAAGATCAGTCTCGCGTACAGTCACTTGAGAAATGACACCAAACCAAGGATCTGTCATGATGAGCCCATCGGACTTCATGCTCTCTGCCTGCATACTGCAGTTCCCACGGTAAGGCGGTAGAATCCCCTGGAAGTCCCGGCGCCAATGAGGCCCATTTCCAACCAGAGGAATGCTCGTAGTAATGGGCCGAGGAAGCCCAAATGGCTCGGGTGGTTGGTCTTCCGGCCGAATGCAAACGTTTTCTGTAATTTCGACCGCCTGGGAATCATCCGTGATCTCCAATCGCTGAATGCTGGGACATCCTCGCTGTCGGATGTCGAAGAACTCCAGGTCTCGGAATCCGAATCGCGCCACGATTGAAGGAGAGTTATCAGGGGAGTCATCTCTCAGTCGTCCTGTGGGATCCAATGAAGGTCGATATGATGATGGTTTCGATATGTCCCAGACAAACAAAGACTCGATGGGGGCGTCCTCGTCAGCGGTGTACAAGCTGCGATTTGGCTGCCATATATAGATCACATAGTGAGTATTGCTATGAGAGGAGAAGAAACGATCTCGCTCGCTCAACGGATGTCCCAAAAACATAATCTTCCATTCATTGCGCGGGACAACGTTCCAGCCCTGATCCTCGCTTCTCGTTAAATCAAAAGAGGATGCGAAGTGACGATGCACGCCATCACTATCATTCAACCAGTGAAAGGCCTTCGGTTCAGCCCACTCAATGACAAGTAAGCTTTTCTGCAGACGCACTCGGCGAACGACCTTGCCACAAATAATAAATGGCACCATGAACTGCCGGTCCGTTTCCAAGTCCATGAGCACGAGAAACTGATGATCGGCGCTGGGGTAGACTAGCAACCCATCCTCGAAAGTCCATAAAGCTTCAGAGAATTGTCGGTCAATAAAGCGCCTCATATGACTGGAGTGTGACTCCCATGGCTGTACCTGATACCATTCCCGGTCTCCAGCGCTGCCAAAGTCATCGCAGAGGCGGTACTTCTGGATAGAGCGGGGTTTGCCTCGTTTTAGGTGATCGTATCGTGAAGCAACCTGATCGAAAAGATGACGACCCTGGTCTTGATCTTCAGATAACGTTTCTGAGCCTAAGCTTTTGGCTTCTTGTGTCCATGGAAAATGTTTCTTTAGGAGTGGGAGTAGGATGGTCGGGTTGCTAAAGGCTTCGTTCCAGGCACGCGAGACACGGCGACATCGGACTAATTCGTTTGGTTCTAAGTAGGCTAGAATCATCCAGAAGAGTTCACCAGGTAGAAGGACCACATCATGGCTCTGTTTTGAGCTGGCCATTGCTAGGTTGTGTGTATCAAAGAGGAAAAAGGACGAAATCTTTGGAGACAAGTTTGTAGGATGTTGATAGAAGATACTAACAATGATCATATCAATTACAAAAGACATATAAATGTGCATATATGTATATTATGTATAGATATTTGATGCCTTCTTAAATATAATGTTTGTATATTTCCTTACCTCAAAACAGTATAGTCGTAGCCACCTGGTACCATCCGCACGCCAAGAGCTTCAGGACACCTTGCGTGATGTTTCCGACCATCTCTCTTTTCTTTATTTCTCTTTGGCTTCTTTGCTGAATCTCATCTCTGTCTTGACATTCCCCTTTAACCATGCTGCACAGTGTCAGTCTTTTGCTCGTGTCGCTCCTTGCGGCACTACCTGTTAATGCCGATGGACTATACACCAAGAATTCGCCGGTGATCCAGTTGAATCCCCAAACCTACAAGTCACTCATCGCCAATTCGAATCATACCTCGGTGAGTACCCTTCGTTTTCTTAAATGTGTGGCAATCAGCTAATGGTTGGCTACTCCAATAGATCGTCGAGTAAGCTATCCCGCACCATAGCTATCTAGCTACTCTAGCTATCTACCTTTCCCCCTCTGACCTTCACTCACATTTGTCACTTAGATTCTACGCGCCCTGGTGCGGTCATTGCAAGAACCTCAAACCTGCCTTTGAAAAAGCCGCGAAAAGCCTCGACGGACTCGCGAAAGTCGCCGCAATCAACTGCGACGATGACGAAAATAAACCCTTCTGCGGACAGATGGGTGTCCAAGGCTTCCCGACCCTGAAAATCGTGACACCCTCCAAAAAGCCCGGAAAGCCCCGCGTCGAGGATTACCAAGGCGCGCGAAGCGCCAAAGGCATCGTCGATGCAGTCGTCGATCACATCCCCAACCACGTAAAGCGCGCAACGGACAAGGACCTGGACAAATGGCTTGGACAAAACGGGGACCGGCCCAAGGCTATCCTCTTCACAGAGAAGGGCACAACTGGCGCGCTGATCCGCGCCCTGGCAATTGACTTCCTCGACGCAATTGACATCGCCCAAGTACGGAACAAAGAAACCGTCTCCGTGAAGAAGTACGGCGTGACCGAGTTGCCGGCCCTTGTCCTCATTCCCGGTGCCGACGCCGAGCCGAAAATCTACGCCGGCGAGCTGAAGAAAAAGCCCATCACCGAGTTCCTGAGCCAAGCGGCGACCCCAAACCCAGACGCGTCACCCCGTTCCACCTCCAACTCCAAGCCCAAGCCGAAACCAAAGTCCAAGCCCGCTTCTAAGCCTACCGTTGTCGACGACGCCGAAGACCTCAAGCCCACCGCCTCCCAGGACCAGGACGAAACAGACCCTTCCGATAAGCCTGTTCAGGTCCCCATTTCCGCCCCCCAATCCCGACCCTCTCCACCCCCGAATCCCTCCAGTCAGCTTGTCTCGCACCGAAGTCCGGCACCTGTGTGCTAGTCATCCTCCCCGAGGCGAGCGAGCCCGACGCCGCGCTTCCAGCATCTGCTACCGAGGCACTCGCAAGCGTCGCTGAGATCGGTCACAAGCACGCCCAGCGTGGAACTCATCTCTTCCCACTGTATGCTGTCCCTGCTATCAACACCGGGTCCCAGACTCTACGTGAGGCATTGGAATTGGGCGATGGCCAGACCGTTGAGATTATCGCGTTGAATGCGCGTCGCGGTTGGTGGCGTCGCTTCAGCGGTGCTGATGCGGACTTTGGAGCTGTTGCTGTTGAGTCTTGGGTTGATGGGATTCGGTTGGGTGAGGGTGCTAAGCAGAAGTTGCCTGAGGGTGTTGTTGCCGCTGTTGAGGCTGAGGCTGAGGCTGAACCTGAACCTGAAGCTGAAGCTGAACTCGAGGCCGAGATTAAGCCTGAGGCGGAAGCTGAGGTTGAAACCGAAGCTGAGACGGTCGAGGTTGAAGTCGAGGCTGAGGAACAGGCTGTGGAGCATGATGAGTTGTGATTTTCATTTTAGGTCCTTGGAATGAGGTCGACGCTAGTTGATCCTAGCTTGGTGACCTCTATCTAGTCTTCATTTTTTTCTTCTAGTTTTGAAAGCGAATCGCATAAGCTTATGTACCCAACCTTGGAATGTATCAAGTCGTTAGGGGTTATCCTATTCCCACATCTATCTCTACAGATCGATCTGTTGTAGACATAATAAACACATGATTCATATCTATGTACAAGAGACGGATATCCTGTGGAAACATGAACCTTGAAGAATACAGACGAATACTAGACACAAGCAAGTCTTTTTAAGACCCAAGAAACCGAACACCGTACATTAATGCAGAAAGAAAACTGTCCAGACCCTAAATCATTCAGCGCTTTTTACGGCCCTCGGTGCCCTTCTTGATCATCTTTTGTCTCTTCGAGTCAATCTCCTTGTCATAGATGTCGCGCGCAGTCTCGGCCTTCTTGCGCTTGGAAGACTTGGAGTTGTCAGGACCATCACTGCGGGCTGGAAATCAGTTATTGTTGTTTCGATGGACAGAAAAAACGTGACTGAAGAACTTACGGGTTGGATGCGGCCAGAGCACGCTGCTTGGCGAGCATCTCCTCATCGATCTGCTTGCCTCCTTCACGGAGCTCATCCTCGAGGCTGATGGGCAAGGGCTGGAGGTTGACTTCGGGCTCGTCGTCGTGAGCGGCAGAGGTCTCGATACGGACCTTCTGTGCGGGCAGAGATTTCTCGATATCGCTCTCGATGAGATTCCGGAAGTGGGTGGAGATCTTGCGGACGATCTTGAGGAACATGGCGAGGAGCTGGGAGGAGGGGAGGTTCAGCTCCTTCTCGAGGTCGTCAAGGCTCTTGTGCTGCAGGCCGATGGCGAGGAGGATGGATTGCTGCACGCCGGAGAGACTGACCTTGCCATCGAGACGGTTGGCAAAGTAGTAGTCGGAAAGAGCGGGAACCAGATCCAGGATGACGTGGTAATCCAAGAGGTTGTTGGCGTAGCTGTCCAGACGCTTGAGATCGAAGGGCGAGAAAGCGGCATCAAGGTCGGACTTCTGCAGCATGTGCGGCTTGAACTTCGGGTCCTTCTTGGCACCAGAGTTGGCAGACTCGCAGATGCTGAGGGAGAGGACGGACGGGAACTGTCCGAATTGGTAGGACATCAGCGCGAGGAATCGCTTGTGGAAATCGCGTGCGTAGGCGCTCAGCCAGGCGTCGTCAGTCTCTCCGGTGGAGAGGGTGCGAACCATCACGCAGGAGTGCTCTCCGGTGAGTTCGTTGGGAGTCTGACGCAGATACACGGGGACAAAAGAACCGCGCTTCCAGAACTTGTGGAGGGATGGGGTGAGACCATAGCTGACACCGAGGTAGTCGAGGACATCAGGGCGACGTTCCGTCAGCTTGCCGAACAGCGGGGGCATGGAGCGAATGTCTCGGACGTGGACGTTGTCATCCAAGAGGCTTGAACCGGCGAGCTCTTCGTCCGTAACACGGACCATATGCTCTTCGGCAGCAGTGTTCTCCTCCTCCAAGTTGGTGAACTTGCCCTCGAAGAAGTCGACCAGAAGCTCCATGGCCCGGGAACCGTATCCCATACCCACATATTCGGGGTTGGTTGCGATACGGACAACACGAGCACCGGAGAGACTGGCGAAGTTCTCATCCTGGAACTGCTGGCTGACCAACCACGGGATGAGATCACCACCTGCGCGCTGACCACGGCTCAAACTGTTGAGCACACTCTGGCGACTGATGCGACCTTCAAGGGCGACCTGAATGACGCAAAGTGGCTCGGGAAGCTTGGTGGCTCCCTCATCAATAGGCGGGACAAGGACATAGAGTTGATGAGCGGGAGCATCACTCATAAGCTGAAGGTCGTTGGGTGTGTTCTTGTAGTGACTGGCGACATAGAGCGCCATCATCTGCTGCAAGAACTTCTCGGAAACAGGGTGGAAGGAGAACAGGGTATCACGGTTGACCTGAAGAAGCTGGCACTGCGAGGGGTGAGGGCAGCCTTGTGTGTTCATATGCGACTTGGGAAGAGTTGCGTCAAGGCAAAGGACCTTGTTCAGCCACTTCTCAACAGAATCACCCGGGGCATATCTAATGGGCTCTGCGAGAGTGATCTCCCTTAGATTTCGGCCGGTGAGGTTCTTGTCGGCACCCTTGGCTGACTTGCCTGTGCTGCGGTCGGCGACATCGGTATCGTCTGTCTTGGCTCCGCTTCGGGATTGTTCGCGCAGCTGCTGAATCAACTTCAGAGACAGGGACCGGCCCGTGCCTTCGTATCCATTAATAGTGGAGGACATGAACACCAGGTAAGGTCCCATCAGCTTGCGCACCAATGGCAGAGGGATAGCTGCAGCCTCGTCGATAACGAGAAGCTCTGCCTGTCCCAAGACTTGCGCATCCTGGGGCTGAATGTACTGGATGGTTTGACGGTGGTTGCGGTGAATGTTCACACGCACAACGGCCTTGTTGAAGTCGGGGTTGGTCGACTGCAGGATGGTGTAGTCAACGTGATCGAGGTATCCAAGTGCATCGAAACCCTTGAAAATGAACTCGAAGAGTGTCTTCAAGTTCTCTGGGCTGGGAGAAGTGATGAAGATGTTGCTGTAGCCGTGAGCGACAGCCGCGGCAATGGCGACACCGAGAGCGGCGGACTTTCCTCGTCCACGACCGGCAGTCAGCGTAACAGTGCTCTTCAGCGTCTTTTCAGCGATAGCATCAACAAAAGTCAGGAGCGCCTTGGCTTGATCCACGGTGCGAGCCAAGCTGAGCAGAGGGCCCACGGGCTTTGAGTCGGCTAAACTCTCCTTGATTTCCTTCAATTCCTTCTTTGTGCCGAACGCTGACTCGTCGGTTGTTTCGGGAGCGGGGAGGGGCTTCACGGTCTTGCCGCCGGAGATGGGCAACACGTTCAGCTCGTCGTCGACCACCAGACACGAATCGCAGCTTCCGAGGGACAGGATGAATCGCTCGTTGAAACGAGCTACAACATCATCGTGGGCCTCTGTTCGGTATCGCGAGTGAATATCCATGGACATGGTGTACAGCTGCTTCAGACTGGTCATGCTCTTCAAAAGCAGGATCACCAAACCTCCACCCTCGACGGTCTCGACGGTTCGTGCAAGCAAATTGGGAGTCATGGCCTCGAAGTCCTGCAACACACACATGCCGTAGGTGTTACCCAAAATCTTCTCGGTTTCCTTGTAGTAGACATAGCGGATCTGGTTGAGGGTGATGAAAAGTTCGAATGGGTCTTCCTGGTTCGGTTCGCGAATGCCACGCTTGACTTCCTTCTTGATCTTCATTTCGCGCTTCTTCTGGTGACTGGTAAAGCCGAGGAGGTCCTTCTTGTAAGCCCATAGTACCGACTTGTTCTGCTTCACGTCCACGCTGGACATAATATAGTGAAGGTGCACGATCACATCCTTGGCATGGTCACCAACAACCACAAAGAAGCTGCGCTTCTTCTCCTGCACACCATTTCGAATAAGAGCGGGGATCCGCGAGTCAATCGCCTTGCGAGGCATGGCGATTCCGGAGTAGTGTTGATTGGGAAAAAAACACTTAGCTTCGTCTTGCGACCAAAAAACTTCCCGCCGGTTAGAAAAAAATGATACTGCTGTCTGACACCGCCCGGGCAATACACCGCCCGGTGCCTGCCTTCCAAGGTTCTATCCACATTACATAAGTATATTTATCACGTGACTGAAATTGCCAGGGTCACCCTAAATAAGTAGGCGGTATATCTCTGGGCCAAAACGGCGTTATAATGAGCTCTACAGATTAGCCCTTTGTCCTTTAGGCCATGTGGCCAATCAGAAATATACGTAGAAGGTTAGCATGATCTTCGAGCTGAGGATGACAAGCTTAATTAAAGAGGACCCCTTAGTCTTTTCCTCTTGCAACGTCTTTTATTGAGGGTATGCGTATGTGGGCCTATCTACTATATATGATTGGCCAAAAAAAAACTATAAAGTCACGTGTGACACTCTATGTTGAGGTCGAAGACTCGAAACGGACTAGCCGCGGTTGCACTTTATTGGTAGATCATCGACGCTGCTTGGACCCTTATCAAATCACATGACTGTGGGTGACGTGGACTGACCAAATTAGGAAATCCAACAGCTGCTTTGAGTTTAGCCTAATCTAATTGAGTCTACCCTTTTTGACGCTAACCGTGGGTCCTTGGACCATCTTTATTTCACGACATGTAGCCGAATGGAGCCGAACGAAGCCGAATGGAGCCCACAGGATACAACAGGGTCGTAGTTGATATGACGCGTGTACTGGATCTCGGCTGCATATGAACCTACGGAGTTCTTACAAGCCTGGACATGATGTATGAAGTGCAACATGGTCATATATGTATGTTGTATGCATGGGAAGGATCCACTAGCGGCACCATGCTCAGGATTCAAGTGGGTCATGGAATTGAAGGCTTTATTCTGGCCACTGATCGGCTCGGGATTTCTTGCTGATGAGCTTTTGCAATATAAAATCTCTCCAGGGCAAAATCTGCTAACTAGTACCCCGTAGGGTCTAACAGATTTGGGCGTGGCTGGGGATTTTCCACCATTCCACATTGGCAAGATACATCTATCCAAGCCAAGACCCGGGGCCCGTGGTTATGTGTGCAGCAAAAAAAAGCCCATGAAATCATATCTTCATATCCCGCTCGTTGACGCAACCCTAATGGATCAGCACTCCGCCCTCTTGGCTCTCCCTGTCCTGCTTTCTTCCATGTTTCGAACACTGTCAATCTCCTGAAGATCCACAGGTTGATCTTTTTTCTCTTCTGTCTTATTACTCTTTCAACAATTCTATTCATTGTTGAAAAATTGTTGAAATTAGAGCGATGGCTTGGGACGCTATAGAGCGATCATAGAACAATTGGTGCAATATGATCCAATTATCTTCTGACCTTGGGCTCAAGCTCTGTGTGGGGTGAGTACTTAGCAAGCTATTAACTATCCCACATTATTGAAAACTTAACTCACGATCGCATTCTATGAGCAGGGCATTTCTATTAAGTTCACTATTCCTTACTACCTCCTACAATACCACATTCGCTTTTGGTGAGTCGTCGCCGTGGATCTCAATATTGTTCTGCAACTTAATCTGACTGTTGCGCCGATATAGATCGCCCGCTCAGTACATCTGCCCTAGTATGCTTCCTTACGGGGTTGACTCTTTTGGTATCGAGTCGGTTCGTTTCATTGGGATCGACACCGTTATCGCCGACAAGTAAACGGCCAGCTATCCCTCTCGCAGAGCAATTTGAGCTTCCTTCCCGTGCATCGACGTCATCTTTCTCACTGGGCGATGTCGAGACTCGCCCTCGGCTACGGTTTAAGTCATGGTGGATGAAACTCGGTCTCTTATTGGGGCTGTGTGGCTTACGGATCGAATCATTTCGCAAAATAACTCAGAATACTGAATGCGCGCCCGCTGGATACGCTGTAAGTGGCCGAATGTCTTGGTTATTGCTTAATATTTCATATTACTAACATGGTCTCATGGACAGTACGCTATTCCTTTCGTTATTTCAATCTATGACTACTGGCGCAACCAGCGATCACGTCAAGTGGACAGATATGTCCCTACCCAACGATTCGAACAGCTGCCGCTACAGGTGGTTTACTCTGTTTCCCGCCGGTGCTTATATTATCTTACGCAAAGTCGCTTCAGAGGGTTAACCGCAGCCGCATTTTTGTCGGTTGGTGCGCTCTTGGCTTCATCTTTCTCGGCTGGAACTCGGTCGACCTATATTTGTCCTATTGTGTTACATGGCGCATCCCGTCTACGATCATACAAGCTGTTCAACCTGTTAGCTGATTCTGTTATACTTATCGGTATTACGGAGATATGTCGGGTTGGCACTCAATTTGATGATGTGCGCAGAAAACGAACCTTGACATTCCTTGGAGCTGGTCTCTTGGTAAGTGGGCAACTACGATCGTGTTGGGAATATTTGTTCTGATGGTCTTTTTAGGGTCTTTCGTTGGGGAGTACTATATATTACTTGGTATCAGATAGCTCTCCTGAACTCGCCGGTCAATCCGTGTTGGATCTAGAGTACTCACGCGGCGCTTTCAGCCAGTCTGTGTTGGTTCTAATACTGGTCTTTTCGGCCTGGCATATGGTGAGCATCCTCAGTTATCAAGACTTATTTCTTTATCATACTGACCCTCCAGTTACCGCATTTCGACCTCCTTGGATTGTCAATTATAGGCGGTTTCATGATCGTCTACTTCTCCACTTTATCGGTCCTTACCGAACAATCACCCTTCCCATTTATCTCTCTAACTCATGCTGTTTTGCCGTTTGCTGCGTCTTTGACGGGTGCTATCCTATTCCTTCTTGCGCGGGTGGTTCATGACGAAGAGCCGAAATTATACCGCACTAATGTTGCCATACAACTATTGTTCGCCGTGATGTGTGGCGTTAGTCTATTTTTTGCAGTGAGCAAGCATCGTCTTGCTGATATACACCCGATTGAGTTCCTCATCAACGACGGCCAATTTCAACATGACAACTATCTCGCTCAGGCATCTAGGAGCAAGACTCTTGGGGATGCTGTTACCGAGTACCGGAGGCGATATAACCAGCATCCACCACCGTATGTTTCGAATACCTATGTTTGTCGCATAACTAAACTAACATTCGTCTAGGGGTTTTGACAAATGGTATCAATATGCCACTAGCCGGTCGTCAGCCGTCATCGATGATTTCGATCAGATATACCACGACCTACATCCATTCCGAGCCCTGGCTCCGGGGCACATCCGCGCGATGACTCACGAACTAGCCACAAACCCTTTCAATGACCTCGGTGGGATCATAATTCGCAACGGCACGGCAATGGTGCAAGAAGGCATCAAGCCAACCCATGCATGGATGGTGGCGGGTGCCGTGGATATGATGAAGAATTTCACCCAATATCTCCCGGATATGGACTTGGTACTCAATCTGAATGATGAACCACGTGTTGCAGTTCCATGGGAGAAAATATCAACTTTGAACCAACAAACTGAAATGCAAGAAATGATCCCTAAAGAGCGCATGGTGCAGGCTTGGTCGACCGACCGAGGGGATGGTTGGGGCCCGATTGAACCCGCCGATCAAACCAACATTACCGTATTCACTGACGGGGCGTGGAGAGGTGTATTTGACCCTTATGTGAGCGCTGTCTGTCCATATTCATCGAAAGCGCGCTCTCAGCGAATCTGGAATCGTCGTGAGACTTGTCTCTCGTGCGTGGCTCCTCATTCCATGGGCCAATTCCCTCTAGATTCCAACATCGCCTCCGAAATCTGCCACCAACCCGACCTTGCCTTCCTCCACGGTCTCCTAATCTCCCCGGCCTCATTCAAGGTGTCACAGGAACTCATCCCGGTATTCAGCCAAAGCGCTCTCGCCGGATTCAACGACATCCTCTTTCCAAGCCCATGGAACTACATCGACAAGGTAAAATACCAACCCACCCACGAACACCCAGATCCAGAATACACCCACAAAGAGAACTCCCTCTACTGGCTCGGTAGTACCTCCGAAGGCGTCAGCCGCTTCGGCGAATGGAAAGGCATGCCACGGCAGCGCTTCGCCCATCTGATAAACAACAACACCAACAACCAAGTCTCCGTCCTCCTCCCGACAGACTCTAATGAAAACTCCTTCCGCTACGAGATAATGGACGGCAACGCCCCAATCTCAGATCTCGGTCTCCAAACCGCCGTCCACATCGCCGACCCAATCATCCGCTGTGATGATTGCGACGAACAAGCCTCGGAATTCGCCACCGCAGGCTGGGCAGACTTCCAAGCACACTGGTCGCACCGCTTCCTCTTTGACCTCGACGGCGCAGGTTTCAGCGGCCGATTCCTCCCTTTCCTACACAGCCGCAGTCTGCCCCTCAGAACAGGTCTGTTCCGCCAGTGGTTCGACTCCCGCGTTACCTCGTGGTTGCATTTCGTCCCTGTTGATATCCGTCTCCATGGGCTGTGGAGTACCCTCGCGTACTTTGCAGGCGTACCTGCTGCTGCATCCGAGGAGAGTGGTCCTGATGCCCCGCAGATGCGTATGAAGGCGCATGATCAGCAGGGGAAGTGGATTGCAGAGGAAGGGAGGAAGTGGGCGAGTACGGCGTTGAGGAAGGAGGATATGGAGATTTACTTCTTCCGGTTGCTTTTAGAATGGGGTCGGCTTACGGATGATCAGCGTGATGTTCTTGGGTTTGGGAGTTGAGGTTAATGTTAATGCTAATACGAATGTCAATTGGTACATAGATTCAAGTATATATCTCAGATAAATCGGGCAAAAATACACAGCCAATTATATCCGCTAACTCTATAATTCGTTTTCAGAAGGGCCGAGATCCACTCCAGGCTCTGAGTTGCACGGGACGTTAGGCGCAGGCTTCTTGGAGCGGGCAATAAGAATCGGAGCCGACATTTTAACCCTCGTATTCGGTTTAGGCTCCTTTTCCTCGTCGGGATCCTGGCTTTGGCTCTCCAGAAGCCCGACTTTCTGCCTGTCATGGCGCCGTAGAAGGAGTCGATCCAGCCGCCGATATGGTACGTTGGTGCCGTCAGCCCCGTCTTTCTCCCAAATCGTACCGAGGAACCAATATCGCCAAAGGTAGAGAACCAGGAACGTCAAGATGGCTGCGAGAGCGCAGATGATCCAGATACTCGATCGGGTTGTGGGCCAGAAACGATGAGAGTCCCAGTCGAATACGGGCAGGGCGAGAACAGTCTATGAAGTACCGGTTATACCTACTGAATGAAGCACAGCTGGGAAATTGATACGGAGCAACTTACTGCTAGTGTAGTACCTGGTAAGAATACCATGGTGAGGACCGCGAGGGCTTTCATCGCCGAGCTATCGTCTCCACTTGCTTTGGCGACCACGCGACTCGAAGTGGCAATCTCCTGGTTGATTATGTTTGCTCTCTGTGATATTTGGCTGTCTCTTTGGGCGATTAAGCTCCACACCTTTAGAATTGTTCTGTCAATCCCGAAATCAACAATCTAGTGGGATGGAACTCACTGTAGTTAAAAAGAGGCTAGTGCCTTCCTTGAGAAGTAATGCCTGCTGTTCCAGATCCTTATATCCAGCATTTATTTGCTGTAGTCTGTGGGTTATTGAGGATGCTGTGTGGAACACGGGGCAAGGTGGAGTCGTTTGACTCTGCGATAACTGTTCTACAAGGTGCTGTAACAAGTGCAGGTTGCCTTGGGAGGTACAGAAATGACGATTCATGCGGCCATGCTTGCTATGCATCCCAAAGATGGTGCTCAGCCAGTCAGCTATCTCGGGGAGGTCGCGGATCTTGGTTTTGTCCTCCGTGGAAGGGGAGAGTTCGGTTAACAATATGGCCTTTTGATGGATTTCGAGAAAGAGATTATCGTATCTGCGCCAATATCCGTGGGTAATGTTGGTATGGCGCTCATACTGGATCTCGTACAGAAGAAGGGCCATAAGGGTGGGTTCTTTCAAGGCCTGAGACGCTTTCTTGAGCCATTTGATGATATATTGGGCTTCTTTTTCTGTGCAGCCATGGAGAAATCCAGTCGTGAATGAATGATTATCATCAACTGTAGAATTCACGGCGAGGATCAAGTCCGACGGCAGCGCTCGTTCCGTTCGCATAATGTACCCTGTGGAAAAGCATGCGCGGGTATGTCAGACGCATCTCCATGGAGGCAAGGCAAGGGTAGTACGGACTCAAACAACGGGCATCTAGGACGTCTTCCAGGGAGAATGAAAGCTTTGCGCTGTCTCTTCGGGACCCAACGGTCTCGATGAATTCTGATTCGAGGTTCAAATTGCTGAGCACGGCATTTAAAGTGGATTTTGACATGGAGAAGCCGCAGAGATCGAAGGATGATGAGAGATCAAATGGCCGGTCATCAACCAGGTATGAATCCTCCCGTAGCGATATTCTGCACGTGTTTTAGCTGAGTCCGGAATTATCTCTGCATTGCACTCACATTAGATGGAAACTCCAGCTCCGGGGGCTGTTGGAGTTGGTTGGAGCCGCCGGCATAGGCGGCTATCAATGTTTTGTAAGAGCCATGGGAATTTTTCGGGGAGTAGTCTTCTTACCTTTTTGATATGATCGCAAAGCTCCGCATCAGTGCTGAGGACATGATCGAAATGAACATCAGCATGGTCGCTTCCACTGCAGAATCTGTCAATAACTTCCAATACCACGGCACAGGAAAGCCACCACTAACCTTTTCCAGCTTGCCTCCACAACATGGCATTGTTGCAATAGCGATGGATACTTTGGGGAGTCGGTGAACGTGAGTAGACTCCGAGAGTTCTTTAAACCATTCAGGCTCCAGGATGGCAAGCTCATGGCACTGGGACATGGGAATGGAGTCGTCCAATCCAGGGGAGATGAGATGACATATTCAACTGATAATTCCTTCTATCCTGGTGCCACGTACGTTTGCTAGCGTCTCCTGAGCCTGCGACGCTTGACGCTTGACGCAGCGAGGCGGGGTACCACCGCTCACCCCCACCACAATGATAAGACTGATGGAGGGGATGCGTTTGGGAAGCTGTTATAAGAAGAATTTTAGGACCAATAATCATCATAAAGCTCTTTGTAAATCCGTACGAGCGGATTGATAGGGTCAGACATGTCTTAAGCGCAGAAACCTACGTCAGGCCTTAAGTGAATACACACGTACCAAATATGCAGAATGGCTGTGCTGGCTAAGAAGACATAATATCACCCAAGTTGCTGGGGGTAGTCAGCTGGGGGCAGGATTGGAACCTCAGGATGCTTGAGTAGAGAACACATGGGGATCACCTTCCCCTGGCCGTTGGCGGTTAAGGCTCTCCAAATGCGGCATATCGATCATTCCGTGTGCTAAGTCGATGATGATGAATTCGCGGACAAGAGGAGCGATGCGCAAGGTTAGTAAATCTGTTCCTCAACCGGTAAAGGCTTCCTGATGCTGGAGATTGTAACCGGGATCTGGAGCTCATCCCATAGAGAAAGACATAATCTCATACGAGTAGAGACCGAGCTTTCAGACAGGTGGTTGTAGATGTCCCCCATAATCAGAGCTTTAACAATTCGTTTCCGGCTTACTCGAGTTGGGGGTGCATGAAAACTTCCAAATTGCCGCAAGCTTCTGCGGATAATACGCTCGTAAGCTCGTTGAATTTAGCTTCCTGTGTCCAAGACTTGGTGAGGGACTAGGTCTCTATCACATCGTGGGCCAGATGAAGCCTGAAGCACAAAGCCTTGGAGCCACGTTGTTTAGACTGACATTGTTCAAGTTCCGAAGACGCATAAGAGTGTTGCGCGAGGAATAAATATTGCTACTGAGAAAAGGAAGGAGGGACATGGACCTCGGGAGGTGTATGTTGCATCGGCTTACACGTAAGGTGTACGGTAGAACCTCAAATGATAGATCTACTCAGTACTACATAGGTATATTATATCCTGAACGAGAGATCTACAAAACAATAACCATATCATCACTGATTTTCATTCTTAATTTCATCATCGAAATGGAAGGGGTATTCAAGTCATCATAAACCATAAAGAGCGTATCAAACGCGTTCATCCCTCCACAGCCGTGGACTAGCACAGGCTAGCGGAGTCCAGACGAACAAAGAGACCATAAAAACAGATGGAAATCAAAAAGCAGACCGAAAAAAAAAGAAAGGGTAAATCACAATCGAAATGTAAGACAGATTGAACCCATATCGCTTTCAACACAGAAAACAATCCATCCCATCACCATCTAAGCATGACCATGTCCACGCCCATGTCCATGACGATAATGCTGTCGACGATGCTTCATAGAAGTCTTCTGCGCAGGGCGCTCAAACAACCCCATAGGATCCCAAGAAACACCCGCCTCCACTTCCGCACCCTCAGCCCCGACCTCCACATCGACCTCGACCCCCCAGCATCAGCATCAGCATCAGCATCAGCATCAGTAACAGAACTAGTCCAATCCTGATAAACCTTAAGCGACCGCACCCGCCAGTAAGTCTCCTGGAAAGCGGTCGGGTTATTCTGCACGTAATCGACACACGAACCAGCACGACTGGCACAACCCGACGAACCCCAAACCGAGCCCGCCCAGTCTCCACAGAAGGTGACATCGAAGACGATCTGCATATCGTTGAAATGCGAGTTGATATCGCAGCCACCGGCAAAGCGGGCTGTGGGTGCACCCCAGGCCGCCGGGTTAGGATTTCCAGATGAGATATCGCCTGGCACGGCGTAGGAGGGGAAGAACCAGATTGAGATGGCGGAGCCGGTCCATTCGGTTGCGTAGACCCCGCCGCCGGCGTTGTTGAATCCTGTGCCGTAGGACTGGGTGCTGTCGCTTTGGATTGTGCAGCCGCTGTTTGCGGATTGGCCGGGGGGCTTGGACGTAGCAGTTTGCGGTCTGGAGGGTTCCTGTGAAGCCGGCGTTGTTGATTGTACAGCCGTTGCTGGTGTGGAGGGCCATTTGGTTTTGAGTTTGTTCATTCACGCCTTCGATTATGTCGATTTCGCCGTTGTTGGGCCAGTTAGAGCCGAGCATCCAGCTGTAGATGTTAGTTTTTTTTCTTTTTCTTTCCTTTTTTTTTGTGAACGAAAAGAAAGAGGAATTGGGGTTGGGGTTGGGGCTCTTACAAGGCGGGCCAGCTGCCGCATGTACTGCTGGGCATGTGGGCGAGATCGAGAATAACAAGTCCATGCTTGTAGGTGGTGGTACTCTCCAGGCGGATGCTCTGACGACCAGGCGCGTTGGCGGTGTTGGTGTGGTCGACGCCGATATAGACGCCGTTGCCCGTGTTGATGAGACCGTTGCGCGAGGCAGTGTTACGGTCGATGTAGTTCACAAAGCCATTGGTGGGATCGGTGTCCTATATAGTGGATGAGTATTACAGATGGGACAAAGAGATAGGACCAACACCGAGGGACATACCGTGTAGAAGTTGAACCTGTCAAAAAACGAGTCGGAGGTACCGTAGTCGTCGCGTAGGGTGTAAGCGGCGGAAGATACATGGGCTAACAAGCCCAGAGCGGGCAGGATGGTCGAAAGAACATGCATTATTCTTGGACGCTTGAATCTTCGCAGGATAGTTGCAGGATAGTTGCAAGGAAGAGAGATCGGAGAGAGGGAGTCTGTCAAAGACTGGAGGAGATTAAGTATACCAGATACTGACCAAAATGGCAGAAGACAATGTGAGGTAAGGAATGAGTACAGACAATAGGGAGGGAGGGACAATGGTAAACAATAAATATGCACAATGGGCAGACGAGATCGATTCTTTACAAATGGGGGAGGCAGGATCAATTTTATACTTGTGAGATGTCTCCGCTCCATAATACGAAAAAAGGACAAACGGGAAAATAATATAATTAAAAAAAAAGAAAAAGAAAAAGAAAAAGAATGGAACAGCGTGATACATCCACCAGACACCGATCCAATTGTAGATATGCAGTAAAAGAAGGGGGAGGCAGGTTGAAACATCGCGGATCATTAGAGAGTCTGACATCTCCGAGCCCTGAATCACCAGTGAATCATTGAGATTTTGTTGATTGAACCAGTCTAGTCTGGAATGTCTTCATATTCGTATTTCGGTAGAATAGACAACAATGATATGATTTGTTATGTATCAAATGGTATCAAATGGTATGAATATAGTATGTAGTTTAATCACATTTAACCACAGCAGATCCATGGATATCTCAAGCGCCCACACTAACCTTAAAATGTTTCGGGTTTAGACCAATCAGAGTGCTTATCACCAACATCAAAGGTTTTGTAGAAGAGTCAAGGGAAATGAACGAAGATGATAGGTCAACGGCCGTTTGAACATTTTCATTTTATTTTGGAACTTTGTTCTCTTCTTTGTCCCTGGTAGGGTTTATCAGACGATCCTTCATCAAGTGAACAATCAAGTAGAAATATGAAGAGTGTGGCATAGTTTAGTGGAAGCGGCTTCCGATCACCAGATCTCTCTACCCTTCGCTTAAGGTACTTGGACGAGAAGTAACCCACCCTACAGATATACCCGTGACAGTACTTGATCCCAAGTACTCCGTACCTCTGTAAATGATCCTACCTAAAACTGATATCGAAGACACCGAAATGACAGTGTCATCTCACGAGTTACTCCAACCCCCCATACTCCCAGCCATTGTAGATCAGTACGTAAACCAAAGAACATCAGACCCCCTTGAACGAAATAACATGATCACATAGTCCAGAAGCCACCTGGACATAGAGTCACAGAAGAAAAAGAAAAAGTTGTGCCATATCCGAACTCTGGAAGGAGACCGAATGATAGTCCGGAGTAAGAATCCCCATGCGATCATCATTGGGAGTACGAGTCGTGCCAAGCATGCGTCTTGGAGAATGAGCTGAGCAGCTGAAGCGGAGAACTTCACGATTCACGTCACCTGTTCCCACAGGACCTTGGAAGACAGAAAAGACTAATAAAGATGGAATATAGCAGGGATAGACCTGGATTTATTATCATACTACATTACAGTAGTTGAGAGTTTAAAAAAAAGGAGAATGGCTATATGCAAGACGATCGTGTGTCTTATCTGGGATATCCCTCGAACAGCACCTAAAGTAGGAAAAAGCAAAGAGATAGAAAAGAAAAAGTAACAAAATAATATCCCTAGACACAAAGGAGATAATCATCCCCGCTGACAGAAATTATGTACAGACTGGACAGAACAGCTCGGCCCCTGACCAGTCGGCCAAATGGTCGCGCCGAAACGCGGTTTCAGCGGGTCGGGCCCCCCGCGCTGACGGCATTCAGCACGCAGCGTCGGTGGTAGAGGTGTCGACAGGCGAAAACGACAACGGGTTCTGGGGCACTCTCTGTGACTGGATTTGGACTGCTAGGCCCAACTCCAGCCTCAGCGTGGTCATGATCAAGGTCATGGTCATGGTCAGCAGGCGCGTGCGCACTGCCCGCATCTAAACGCGACGGATGACCAACTCCAACATCAGCAGCCTTGCCCTTCCCGCGTTCGGACGGGTTATAGCTATCCTCATTGCGTCTCGCGATGCGGCGGGCATAGGTATCGGCGCATCGCGCTTCCCAAGCGGACCAATGCGCGTCACCAACGCTGGGGCCCCAGATGCGGCCGCGGCAGATCTCGCACACGTGGCCGCGGGGCCGCCAGCCGTGCTGGCGTAGACGGGATACTTCGTCGACGTGGACGAAGAGGTCACGGTCCAGCATGCCGTTTGCGAGGGTCAGGAGGGATTTCTCATAGGAGTAGGCGGAGAAGATGGAGGCTAGCACGGCGCGCAGCTCGAGGAGGGAGGGGGACCACGTTGCGGCGCGGGTGAGGAATGCGCGCAGGATGCGTAGGAAGGACATGTCTGTTCTTTCGGTTGTGGTGGGGCTGCTTTTTACTGTGCTTGCTAGGAGAGCTGTGAAGACTTGCTGGACAAGGGTGCGGAAGGAGGTTGTAAGGCGGCCGCTTTCGCCGGCGAGTGATGTTGTTGGTTGAGCAGGGAGGGTTACTTGGGCATTGTTTCCTTGTATGAAGGCGAAGACATTGCTTGCGATGCGGACCACAGCTTCGATATGGTCGAGCCAGAGGAGTTCATCGAAGGCTAGAGGCTGGTCGAGGGGTGGTGCATTGCGCTTGGCATTGGAGCTGCCTGTGCGCGACTGCTTGACTGTCTTACTTTGGCCCTGGCAGAGCCACGTTCCAACACTGGTATACTTGTTCAGAGACTCGACCAGGTCGTCAATTGCCTCAGCGGTAGTCGCTGAGTCGGGGCTCTCGCGCACACTCTGAAGGATGCCTACCAGACCAGATTCGAGGGTGCTCAGGTGTGCGACAAGACGGTCTAGGGCCTGCCGGACTTGGCCCTGCCGGGCGAGGAGGATGACGGCAGCATCGATGGCTCCACTTTCCTCAATGAACGGGAGCAGTTCATCCAGGTGGATGTCACCGACTCGCAATCCGTCGACGAAGTCCGCGACATGAGTGGGGTTGTATTTGCACAAGAGCTGCACATAACGCTCGATCATCCAGTTCTCAATACTGGGCGAATATTGGGTGTCCGCAGTTTGAGCCTGCGGCTCGACCAACACCAGCAAGTACTGGTACTGTTTCTGGGGATCATCTTCCAGAACCCGCAAAAACGTAGAGTGTGTTTCAGGGGCCAGGTCTTGCATCGTCTGTGCAGCGTGCGTCACGTCAATTGCAGCTATCTCCCGCGCATGCTCCTCGACTACATCCACTATACCGCGTCTCTGTTTCTTGCCAAGCCCAGAGCCTGGACGGAGGCAGTCATGCAGACAGGTGAAGATAGCTTCGCGGTCATTCGGATCCTCTAGGTAAGTCATCACCAACAGGGGATATTGCTTCTCTAAACGGTAGGTCGACTTGAGAATCCGGAAAAAGCGTGCCTCTTTGAATAGAGGAATCATGCTCTGAATGTCCGGTGGGCGGTAGAAGGACAGCAGATACTCTGCACTCAATTCACAATCGTCTGCCATTTCCTGCTCGGGGTATTGGCATACACGGACCAAAACCTGATGGAGGGTTGTGCCAGAAAGGAGAATATACTGAGGATACTTGGGGAGATTGCGAGCAACAAACATATCCAGGTAAATGGTGTCAAAAGGCGTGAAGAAATCACCAGTCATGACTTGCAGCAAAATGCTGACAAGGTACTGACGATTAATCGACATGCCCGACACGGAGACATCCTCACTCTCGGGCTCATTTAGGAAGCTGTCCTCAAATGCCTCGTTGAGCATGCTCATGAAGCTCGAAGCATCGAACTTGAGCATGGCTCGAAGGTGAGAGAAGGAGTCTGACCCATTGGTATATCCAGGTACTGTACTGGACCCACGGCCTGAGAAGAGGAATTGGTATAAGTCTGTCTTGGCCCTTGTGGCTTCAGCCTCATCCATATCCTCTCCGGTGGGATAGATGCGACCTGTCAAGATAAAAGACAAATAGGGGAAGGTTTTCATCGCGTTGTTCTGCCTTCTCATTTCAAGCACGTAGTCACCGTTGACCAAGGGCTCGGTTTGGGAGGGCATGAGACTTAGTAGCTCTTCCAGTGGTCCCACATAGTCCATCAAACAGCGGTTCCATACATATATAAAGGCGTCGTAAAGATTATGCTGCTTACACAGCGTTGTGACTTGATCGATGTCCATTGTGGTAGTATCAAGAAGACAGATGATCTCCTCCAACCGACCGGCGGAGTGAGTTCCAATGAAATGGCTAATCAAGGTCTTGACCGCGGTCGGGGGTAGTGATCGCAAAGTTCCATCAACGATGCGTGGCTCGAGGGCATCCAGGAAAATTCCCGCCGAACCTTGCTCCTCGTACCAGTTGAAGACTTCCTCCCAAAGGAACTCTTCATCGGCCATGTAGACACAAGCCGCGATAGAAACTTCTGCTAGCTCCTCCAGCTGCTGGTTCTCAAGTCGGTCGTTACTTGCTTCGGAATTTCGACCAAAAGCATACTTGAGGCATGCAGAGATCATTTCCAGAAGCTTTTCTTGCACAATGGGCTGTCTCAAAGCATCCTCTTCCGGAAGCCCAACCGTCAGCTTTTCCGACTCTCCCGTATAGTAAGAGGTTGCTAGCCGAATGGCTCCAATGAAGTCGCCCGCCTCCATAAGGGCCAGCAAGCGATCAGCCCAATTTGAGAGATTGCCTACCAAGGCTTCGTTATAACCAAGCAAGAACAAGCGCCCTTTATAAGAACGAAAACTCATATGGAATGCATCTGCTACTACTCCGTGCATCGACTCATCCTCTTCGTCAAGCTGTTCAACTAGTGAATGAAGCTGTGAGGAGAACAGATCGGTGTGATATATGTGCCTGTTGGCGAGATCGACCGAGTCGGTCACATGCATGGAATAATCCTCGATTATCAATAGCCGCTGCGTTATTGTGAACACTGCAAGCACCGAACGACTGAGCCACTGAACAGCCACAATAGCCTCATCTGCTCTCCATCTGCTGCGCGCTCTGAAGACAAGGCTGGGAGGCTTATCTTTGTCTGTATGTTCGTCAGGCTCAGCCTCTGAGACTTCGAGCACGGTCAAAACGTTTGACCAGCAGTATACGAGCTTCGTGTTTGAAGTTTGAGTGTCTTTGCCCTTTAGTCGAATGGCTGGAAACCATGCTAAGGCACCGGTCATGGCACTGTGAGCGGGAACTTCTTTGGGTCTCGGTGCTTTGTGTTGGGTTTGTGCCACTGGTGTGGTAGACACAATAACAAGAAGATAGGGCGTCAGCATAGCAACGAGGCCCAAAGAATCAGTGGATTGCTCTACATTGCCGAGTGGCAGAGGAGAGAAAGCAAGGACAGAGCTAGGCTTCCGCCGTTTGATCTCTGCCGTTGCCTGGGGATATCGACCCAGGATTCGAGTCGTCTTGACTGCTCGCCCCATTGCACCCATTCCTCTTGTTGCTAGGTGGGAGAAAGACATGCCCCGTGCGTCAGCCGAGACCAGCGCAGTTCGTCTGGTACCAAGGAAACCGATATGGATGACCGCGGATCCCGAAAGATGGCCATCAGATATTCGAGTCTCGACTTGATTGGCCGGGATTGGCGGGATATGAAGGAAGGGCTTTGCTGAGCGTGAAATCTCCCAGGTAAATATATCACCCGAGTCATGGCCCCCTGCAACGGTAGTATGGTCTGCAGAAAGAGCTAGTGATGTAACAGCACCGCATTCAACGGCTAAGTGATTATCAGTACAATGGGCCGAAGGGTGTAGACTTGTTTTGACAAACCTGGTGTGCCCGTTCCAATAATAGTCTTCAGGCTTTGCTGATAGTCGAACACGAGAATTATACCCTTGGATGTACCTATCACAATAGACGTGGAGACTGCAAGGCAAGTTGGCCGTCCGAAATTGCGCTTCCCGATTTCCGAAAACGCCTGCCCAGTGATCTTCCGCAGTTTTGTCCATCGCACCACATCCCAAGGTCCCTGAAGCGGTTCGGGTTCCGTTTCTGGAGTCGGGGAAACCTGGCTGGTTATTGAAGATTGCCGGGAGTGAAGATGCGCTAGGAATGGCGAGCTGGCTCTAGACACACTTTGCGGCGATGAAGATAACCGGGACTGGAACCGAAGGTCAAAGGGGCGACGGGCCGGGCTCGGGCTGACTCGCGGAGATCCGCGGAGCGCAAGAGCACTGCTGCTCAGGGAAGACGGAATGGAGCCCTGTCATCAATCAGCTAGCTATCCAGGTTATGCGCCAATTGTATCACTAACATGTAGCGATGGGGAATCGTCGGGGTTTGAGCCTGTTCCATCCACGCTCTCTGTCGCGTTCCAGTCCGCGTGTCGCGGCGGGGGGGTTTCTGGAAAGTCGAAGTCCTTCTGTTCCGCTGTCTTCTCGGAATCATGGTCCTCCGCATCGTCTATCGTGTCCAATTGCTCTTCCGCTGCTTCCTGCGGGGAAGGTAATGTTTGATCGAGGGTGCCATGGTCGGGTTGTTGGGGATGATCGTCTTCCGAGCCTAGGTCAAGCTCGTCTTCGCGCGACCAACCCTCACTGCCCTCAGCCATCGAGCTCATGAGCGAGATCTCCGAGTGACCATTGCTTCCGGTGATGTAGTTTGCAGACGAGGCCGAATCTGCGATGGCGTGCTGAGAGAGGACGATTTCCGAATTGAGCAGGAAGTTCTTTCGGAGAACAGGAAGAGAATTAGGAGGTAGTGCAATATAGAATGGAGACGTGGAATGTCGAACTTGAGGGGGCATGAACACAGTGGAGAATGAGAGTTCAGAGCTCCGTTGCCTGGGTCGGGGCCGTTCTAGGGGCCGAACACCAGCCACAAGTGGCTGCCAGGTACGCTTTCACACTTCACAACTATACGGAAGAAAATACTTAGAAAAATATTTAGTTATATATGGACTACTTGATTTAAATGTTAAGTCTACAGCACAGATGTACTTATCTCATGTTGATGAACAGTACATAGGTTTCTCGAGAGTATCTTGAGAGTATATATTCATAGGAACCCCGAAAGCCCGAAAACCCGGCCTCATATCGTAAGACATGGTTTATCAAGATGTAACTACCGAGCCCACAAAAATAACAGGTCGTTTGAATTAGATACCGGCGGACGTGGAGACTGTACTAGGAGCGGAAGCCCACTGGAAGAGGGGATCGCTCGATAGACACTCCATCGCCGCCCGTTCCAAAATCCATCGCAATCTCCAGCATGAATGAGATGATGCAGCATCAGACGGAAGGTTAGGCATTATCCAGCAAAAGCCAGGAACTGTATCGAAAACCAAGTCGAACAACTGAAGATCTCCGAGTGGGCCATACTCCACATAAGGCGATGCTGACTTGATATTAGATACAAGAAAATTGACCCCCCATCCAGGTCGGAATGAACTCCAATCATGCTCGCGGGACATTTTCGCGACCACACCCTGCGCATACTGCTTGTTCAAGAGCCCTGATGCTTCCTGGAGAGACTGGGCAACGTTGCAGATCCGCCAGATATCTTCCGGCCCTACCGGGCTGAGAGGCTCTGGCACATTGATATTTCTCAAGGCCACAGGTGGAGGAGGTGCAGAGCCATCACACTTGCTTTCGGTGCCCACGATAGTGTTTCCCATATATCCCCGGCGTAAATCGAGTGCCTTTCGAATATTTTCCACGATGAACATCTTAGACGAGAGTTCCGGCTCATTGGGGAAAGCCCTCAAGCGGGCACGACTGCTGCATATTCCCACTAGCGCGGTGACGACCAGACTAGGTGGAAGGGACATCCCGGGAAGATCCTTCTTATATTTCCCAGGAAGAGTTTGTAAAGCCGAATTGCAGGCCTCGTGCAGCATTTTTATCCTTTGGCCATCGAGTACATGAGGAGAACTGATGGGCACTCGACTATAATCCGTGGGAATTTTGTCTTCGCTTGTTGGAGTAGGAAAGGTCGTCCATTGAAGATCGTGCGGTGTGGCTGTAGAGGCAACCTCCTTGATATGCTGCCTTGTTTCTTCTTGTTCATGTGGAGTTGTGAATGGTCCTGGGGCATTTAGATCTCCACAGAAAGCGGCCAAAGTAGCAGCCAAACGCAAAAAGCCTGAGCCATCCATTACTCGGTGATCAAAGCAACACACCAGGTACAACTTGCTTTCCAACACATTGGCCTTTAACCGTAGCACAGGAGAAGGGTTACGTGGTGGAGAGACGATTGGGAACGGCATCAAGGCAGTGTTGAGTTTCCCATCCACGGCAACAGCGGTGGACTCTGTATGATGCTGGGTAACCAGGATAGGGCAATCTTCAAGCTCGGTAGCAGTGGCAGGCCGCACCTGAAGTGCGTTACTTCTACCATCTGGCTGGGTAGACGGTACCACCATCCCGGCCAGGAAGGGAAATTTGGAGACCAGACGAGCCACCGCATCCTCCATTCGCTGAAGGACGTGAACACGATCCTTGTCAATTAAACTAAACGTGAGAGATATACTGAAATGTCCTGGAGGTGAAAAATGGTCTAACGGAGTAAGGTTGTAGGGTTGGAACATGTTTGTGAGATTCGAATCCCTTACCCTCCCTCGTCTAAAGAGAATGGGGAGGCGGGAAAAGGAGGAAAAAAAGGATTTAGAAGACGACATTGAAGCGGAGTGACTCGAAGGTTGGGTTGGTTTATCAAGTCGACTCCCCAGTTGAATACTGGAATTTGCACAGCAAACGGAGACAGAACAGGTAGAGTGGTGGAAGTGAGAAATGCCCAGTTCCTGTATAATGAGGGTAATCGTGGGCTTCTACCCATGCTAAACGATCTCTTAAATAGATTTCAAGGCCTCGAAATTTGGACTGATCGGCTGAACGTACTTGGACGATGCTCTGCAGTCCGTCCTACACTTCTAATGCAGGGTATCTACAAGTGAATGATAGTCCACGTTCTGTGTAACTCTAAATCTGGTAACCATGAAGGTATTTATCGAGGAATTAATATCTTAATTCTTGATATTGTAGCATTCACATCAAATAGCCTTTTGAAGACATGTTGGTTTCTAATGGTCTTGGTTGTCGGAGATACTGTGGTGCATTTTCGCCCTCCTACAAGACAAAAGAAAATTCTGCTTGATAAGACTGCTGTATTACAGTTGACGTCGATCTGTACTCCAAGCAGAGTACTGAATGTAGACAGTCGCTGATCTTTTGTGGCATTGCTTCGATCAGCGATTACCAACAAGCAGTGTTAATGTAGTGTAACGCAATATCAACCTCCCAACAAGACACACAGCATAGAGTTATATAAATTTGAAGGGGAGAGGATTCGATTTGGCCTGCCAATGAAAAATCTGAAGCTTCGAAAAGCGATGTGGCTATTTAACCCCTGCCATACCATGAGGCAACTAATGTACACCTTTGCAGAAAATACAAGAGGCGTAGCAAATACAAAGTCGAGAAACGGGAGAAATTTAAATAACATAAAAGCTATACCGAGGTTAACAGGTCCATGAATGAATCAAGTAATTTTGTATGTGGCAGGGTAGGTGTACTAGATATAATGTAGGATATTCACTCATCCCAACTAAATAATCAATCGATCACTGGCCTATGTTAATGACTATCGATCTTTGGATGGCATTTATATATCTCGGTTGCATAGACTATACAATGAGTCTAGTCTCGTTCAAGCAGCGACCATCCATGTTCATGACTACAACTAACTGAACCCGACCCTTACCCGCACAGGAGACCCGTACCCGTACTAGCGATATTTAAAGAAACATTGAAGCTTCCCTATCTCAAATCATTTGCATTTAAAGAGAAGTCTCTCGAAAGTCAAACTATTTCCGATTAACCAAGAATAGCTAGGGGTGACCATCGATGAGGCCCGCCATTGGTGCCTGGCTGTGGTCACGCGGAGACTAGCATATTCATGATCATGTTCTCTCACTAGGGGTATATCATCTCACAGTCGATGTGATTATGGTCAGTTTCCATTTATTTCCCTCCCTCTACCTTGGGGTTCCCATTTGGTCATCCATCGACATGCGGAATGTACGTGGGAACCAGCGCGAGCATATCACCCCTCGCGGGGGCAGCTGATATCACTCTTGCGGGAGCAGCTGTCGCTCCTGCGTGACCGGGGACAGCAGATACTATTTATCACGATATCAGCAAGGACAAGAAGGAACTTATGGAGCATAAAAAGGGGAAATATCGCACCTTTGCGCCTTCCTGCTCAGAACCAAGTATAACCTAAGGCAGCCTCAAAAACCATGGCCCGAATCTACCAGAGACTAACACGTGCAATGCTGAGTGCTCTCCTACTTCTCCAGCCTGTAACTGCAGTGCCAGGGACAGGAACACTAGCACCGCGAGTATCTCAGTCCTCGGTGTCTATATCCTCGACCACCCCGTCGATGTCAACCCTAGCACCAACAACCTGCAATGGTCGCTCAGAGTACTGCACCCGGTCCTACTCAAATATCACATTTTTGGGTTCCCACGACTCCGCATTTGTCGGGCCTTTGCCCCAGCAAAACCAAAACATCGATATAAAAGCCCAACTCGACATGGGAATCCGGTACCTACAAGTACAAACACACCATTCCGTCCTTGATAGGGATGTGTTAGAACTGTGCCATACATCATGCTTGCTTGAAGATGCGGGTCCACTCAAATCGTACTTGGAGACAATCAAGAGCTGGCTGGATGCAAACCCGAACGAAGTCGTCAGTCTCCTCTTGACAAACGGAGACTCAGTAGCCATCACCGAATTTGGAGACACTTTTGCAAGCAGCGGAATTACCAACTATGTCTATGTTCCGTCCGCAAATCCTCTAGCAATTACAGATTGGCCCACACTGGGTGATATGATATCCAGCGGAAAGAGACTGGTCGTATTCCTAGGTAAAAAAGCAACAGTCACAAAGAGCTATATACACATTGAAACTAACAATCTCCAGACTACGGTGCCGACACTACAAAAGTGAACTACATTCTAGACGAGTTCGCCTACTACTTTGAGACTGCCTACGGCGTCACAGACCCCTCTTTCTCAAACTGCAGTATCGACCGGCCCCCTGGCGCCGCCGCTACAGGCCGTATGAGCATTGTCAACCACTTCCTTGATATAGATGTTTTCGGCGTAAAGATTCCAGCTCGCCAGAGGGCAGATACTACTAATGCTGCGACGGGGCAGGGTAGTATTGGTGCCCAGGCGGCGCTATGTGCTGGGCTATATGGGCGTGCGCCGAATCTGGTCCTGGCGGACTTCGTGGATAAGGGGGATGTTATTACGGCGCAGAATAATCTGAACGGGTTCTAGATCTTGGGTTGGAGTCATGTCGTCCTACATCCCATAAATATACATATATAGTGGAAAAACTCGTAGTTTGAAGCATTTTCTCTTCCCTTTTAGTGTTCTCTTCCCCGTCTTTGAAAGATGCATGTCATAGCTGTCTCGATTGAAATTGCAGCTAGTACAACATTCCACATATTATCAAATGTGCTGTCAAAGGGCTATGTATAGACGGAAATAGTTCACAGTACAAGTACAGTACGGGTAGTTGCAGAACCAACCAGTTGACGCTGTCTTCCCAGCAAAACAAGTTATGAGATAATAGATCTACACCACGCTTGTGTCTTACAAATATCATAGGATATAAATAATCAAGGAAATATCATCAAGGACAGAAGAATTCAAACCGCCAGACAATGAGGTTAGTATGTGGTCCACCTAGCGAGCAAATCCTGTATGCCGCCGGAAAAGTCGAACTCTCGCCATTCTGATGTTCTTGTTATATGAGCTTTATATTACGCAGTAGAGAGTGATTCATTAATTCATCATTTCGCTAGCATCCCGCAAACAACATCTGACAACATATCAGATTGGCAAAACAATCTTAGCCCCGCTGACACCAGCCCTCAACTTATCCAGTGCTGCATTCAAACCGTCTAGCCCGCCAACCTCAATCTGAAGAGCCGGGCTGGGAACAACTGAACCGGACTGCAGACCGTCATTTAGCCATTCATGGAAACACTGATAGATATGCTTGCTCCTTTCAGTCGGATCCATTGATGGGAAATTGAACGTAATCTCCGTATTCTCAAGCGTTGGATGATCTGGGGGAAGCATAGGCGAATGGACAACCTTGGCGGCTGCATCGCCCTTCGTTTCTTTAAGAACGTCCAGAGTTGGCTGCAGACCTCCATCAACAACGCAGTGTGCAGTGTACATATTAACATCATCATTCTTCACAGCTTCAACGATCTGTGAGACGACATCACCCGCTTTGTAGCCGAAAACCGCGCGCGCTCCGAGCTTCTTAAGGTAATCATGGTGTTTGGGACTAGCGGTAGCGTAGACCGTGAAGCCGAGTGACTTGGCCGATTGAACGGACAAAGTGCCAACGCTACTAGCTCCACCCCAAATCAGCACCGCCTGTTTATCCTGCGGGGTGTACTTGGTGCCGAGCGAGATGCCGATTGTGGTCCAGGCAGTTAAGCTGGTTAAGACAGCTAAGGGGAGTACAGCACCCTCCTCAAACGAGAGGTTGTCTGGAAGTGCAATGACGCCTTCAGATTGTGCTAGGGCGTATTTTTGGAAGGCGCCGTGGTCTGCCGAGCCATTTTGATAGAAGGAGGAGGCGAACGCAATAACTCGGCTTCCTGGTGCGGGTGCAGTGGTGACATTCGAGCCTACCTTCACGACGAGACCTGAAGTATCGGACCCGATCACAGCAGGGTAGATAGGGACAGGAGGAATGCCGAAGTCACGCTGGTAATAGTCGACAGGGTTCAAGGCGACAGCCTTGACTTCTATGAGAGCTTCATTTGGACCGGGCTCGGGTGTGGCGCGTTCCTCAACAGACAGGGGACCTCCCTTCTGTGGGAGGACGGCGGCGTGATGAGTTCCAGTCATGGCGGGTATCTAGCAGATTGCTGTGAATGTTCTTTTGTTGAAGAGGTGGGCCAACTTGAACAGCCTGAGTCAAATGTGGAATGTGGTGTAATTGGAAGGTCTATGAATTCTAAGTTTTATATCCAAACATGTATGTAGTTGCTTGTCACATTCGTAAATTGTCTGGACTTTACCTTACCTCCGATACCCCAAGCAACTATTTTCTACGCCTATTACTGTTGAGGGATATTCAATTACTGTACTGTGGCCCCATTCCTTAAGGCCGAGACAAAGTCACCAACATTGTTTCGGCCTTAAGGATAGATAATCTGGCGTTAAATCCGAAGGCTATCGTCATTAGCGCTGGATATACCAACGGACATAAGTTGTGTTAGGAAGAGAACGTTGAAACCCATTCGAAGATACGTGGAAGTAAAAGGCAGCTCCATCAAGCCTTGCTCGATTTTGTCTTCTCCACTTACTATCCTACCTAATTCTATTAATTGAAGGGCAATGCCTACATAATTGTCTACACTGGGGTGAACTTGTTTCAAATCTCGTCTAATTCCCGACTTATGCGTGTAGCATTAACAACTTGTTAAGATCCAAAAAAAAACAAAAGTCTTATGCCTGCACATTACATGCAAATAAAAAAGCATTAAAGATCAGATATCGAAAGATCAGGGAGACCGAGGACAATGTACATATTGCAATGGGCACTCCCATAACACACAAATCCTCGTAAAACCCCAAGCACAACCCACCTAATCAAGTTCAGACTCCTCATGAGAGTGAGTGGAACCAGGCTCGGAGTAGTGAGCGTACAGGTGGGACATCAGAACATCGGCATCATCTTCGTGCGCGGTGCTCATGAAACAAGAAGTTCTGCGAACCTCCTCAGAGACGTTGGCGTAGATAAGGGCAACTGCACAATCACACATGCGCTGGTACCACAGGTACAGGTTGTGGTTAGGAGATAGTGGCTGAAGCTCCGAAGTTACAATAGGCCACACCGAGTGCTGGCGGAAGAGCAGGCGCATGGCAGCCAGCCAGGGACCCCAGTTGGCGTTACCAGTGAGAGGGGGCACTTCGATGGGGACAAAGTGCTTGTCGTGGGTAGTGTTCATGAAGAACCTCACATGCTTCGCGGTCCTGGCTTGCTCGGCTATGTTTTCCACCAGCGAGGGCACAGGGGAGATATCATCGTCGCTGCCGATGGCACCGTATGAGAAAGCGAATCGGTCCAAGTCGGCGATGGAGAATGTGGTCGAGACGGGGTTGCTCGGTCGCTGAACTCTTGGATTGGCCTCGGGGATGTCCTCCATCTTGACCTTGGGAGGGGAAGACTCTGTATCTATGTTAGAGGGGAGAAAGATCCATTCCCAACGTCCGTTTTGAGAAGAGAAGGTAGGACCGTCGGCGTAATTGGGACCATAATTAGGACAAGGAAACAAGGTCATATCGTCCACGGTACAGGGAAATTGGTTCAGGGAAAGCCTGAGGCCATTGGCAAACTCACTCTTTGTGTTCTTGACATTTCCGTTGGTCGTCTCATTGGCAGGGGTAGCGGAAGACTCTATGTTATTGTTAGAGGCAAGATAATACCAGTCCCACCGTCCATTTCGGGAAATAAAGATAGGTTAGCCGGTGGGATCAGCAGTGGGAGCGTGACATAGGGTAAGATCATCCTTGGTATATGGGAATGGGCTTGAGATTGAGCCAGGAACAGGAGTCAAGTCAAAACTGTACTCACTCTCATTTGCATCATTGGCGACGGAAGCGGGAGTGGGGGATGGTATCTCAGTTTTGATCTCTGTACCAAAGGCATATGGGTTAGAACCTGTCTGTTGTGTAGCGCCATCAAGGAAAGCCTGTTGAAGGTCTGTAAGCTGATTCCAGTACTCACTTGGAGGTTGGGTCTCGGCGGAAGACTCCGTCTTGGAGACTCCTGGCGGGGAGCTGCTGTTAGCTCTCTCTAAGATGACTGATTTTGTACCTTTCTTCTTCTTCCTGATGGGCGATGATGATGGATGGGGGACAAAGTACGGGACATACCCTTCTTGACGCCCTTACGGGAGGAAGGTTTGGGAGGCATGATGGTTGTTGATAACTGCGAAAGAAGGTTGATGGAGAGAGATGACAGAGAAGAGAGATGGCAGAGAGATGGTAGAGAAGACAAAAATCTGGTGAGAAGGAGGAATTGGAAGAGTGGTGATGCGTTTGAGGTTGATAGGTAATGCGTTTGCTGGTGGGAACTTTTATATCTTGGCTGTTGGTAACCCGCCAGATTCCAAGATTCCATGAGACAACCATACTGCACAAACTACATTAAAGAAAGGTATTTAATTTGTGATGATTCCATTGTCATATACATAGAAGTTTGACACAGCATAGAAACCGCGAAGAAAGAAATATTTATGAAACACAAACATCTTCAAAACAAACTATCTGAGACATGATGGGCAGAAGACCGTCACTTACAGTAAACGCGACCTAAAACTGAGGATTGTAATCTACAACAGGAATTGTAGTGTCATCCAAACTGACAGAGCCTAGGGTGTCAATGCCAGCGTACTGGTTGAGCCATCCCAGGACCTGTTGATGCCAGACAAGACTGTTTTCTTTGTTGATGACCCTATTCAATGCCATTGAGTTAGCCCTAGAACACTCTGATGATGCATCCCCAATCAAAGGGATCCGTTGTACGTACCAATGGTTTTCATCAGGGAAGCTGAGCAGCCTGCTTGGTACACCTCGCTCCTGCAAAACATTGAAAAGCGCCAGACCCTCAGAGATAGGAAGTCGATAATCCAGTTCACTATGGATAATGAGCTGTGGGGTAGCGAACTGTTTAATGTGCTCTGGAGCAGATGGATCCCACCGACGATAGTTGTCTCGGTTGTCCCAGAACGTGCCGTTGAACTTCGGAAGGGTTAGTATACGAACCGAGAAAATATCACCAATAAGGTACATACCTCATGCTCCATAAACCACAATTCCTCGGTCGAGACCTTTGCATCGGCCACAAATGTGCCATCGTGGCTGGCTAGCGCCTTGAACTCGCGGCCTAGAGGATTGCCCTGGATCCAGTTGATCATGAAGGCACCGTAGCTAGCACCAGCTGCCACGCCGCGATCGGTATCAATAAAGTCGAAGTTATCTCGGACATACTCCCAACACTTGACCAAGTCGTCGTAAGGGTAGCTTCCTATTGATCATTATTAGAAGGTAATGTAGGAATGAGCGATGGAAATCACATACCCCAGTTGTTCGCGATCTCATCGGTAAGTTTATCACCAAACCCAGTGCTACCAGTTGGGTTGGGTGCGACAACCACATATCCTTGGTCGGCGAAAACCTTGTAGTTCCACCGAGTGCTCCAGGAATCAGCCCAGGAGCCTTGAGGACCACCGTGAATATAGAACAGGAGCGGGTATGACTTTGACTTGTCAAAATTCGAGGGGTAAATGATCCAGGAATGAATCTATAACGTCAATATCCCTTCAGTTTCATGAGAAAACGGGAGACTTACATCTGTCCAGTTGCCCTTATAGTAGAACTCATCAACATCTGATGGACTAAGGCTCTTCAGGGCAGGATCAACTTCGTTGGCATAAAAGATAACGCCTGTGACACCCTTTCCAGGCTTTGCGGTGTAAACTGTGCGGCTAGTATAGATAGCGGAACCAGAAACCAAGTAGTCACCATTAGGTAGGCTGTAGTAGGCAGCCACCGCGCCACCGTCGGTGAAGTTCTTAGGCTTGAAATCATTACCAGCATCGGCGGGCAGCAGGAAAAGTCGAGAGCGTGCAGAATCCTCGGTGTTCAGAACCAGGTTTTTCCCGTCAGCAGTCCACTTGATTGCCTCAGGTGACCGATCCCAGTTCTTGGCCAATGTGCGAATAGTGTCCTTGGAGTCAACGGTATAAACGTAAACCGTGCGACGGTCCGCTTCGTAGGAGATATCTTCCATTTGGAGATATGCAAGGTGACGGCCATCTGGGGAAAAGACAGGACTGCTCGAATCACCCTTGATGTCTTTCGGTGTGCCAGGACTGTCTGGGCCATTAATGGCCACAGCCGTTTTTGATCCATCATGGGGAACAAGATAAATGTATGAAGCAGTGTTGTTTGCACGTGGCAACTCAGGCGCCTTGCTCTTAAACGCAACCAACTTTCCGTTCGGGGAGATGGCATAGTCAGACGAATCGCCGAACGGCGGGTAAGGTGACTCAAGATTCTTGACTCCTGCGACGAGATTCTTGAGAGACCCACTAGAAGTGTAGCGGGATGTGGCTCCATGTACAGCTTTGTTCTTCTTCAGAGTCCCCGAGAAGATAGCATTGAACCTCGTCGTGAGCCAGGTATCCCAGTGGCGGACGTAAATACTGTCGTGGATACGTGCCGAGCTTAGGGGCTTAGCTACGAGCTCTTCATTGTACGCCGTCCCATTAGGCCAGGACTCTCCGTACACCAAGAAGTTAATATCTCCAGACTTGGTGATGGTCGTCTTGAGGCCAGAAAGCGGCGCCGGCAGCGAAGCTGCCTTGTAAGCACTGCGTATAAGTTAGGAACGTTTTATCCAAATAAACATGCATGTAAACTTACGAGGTTGCAAATTCAGAGGTATCTGACACCCAAATCTCGGCACCTCCAGGAATCTCGGCATTAGTACCGTTGATATACAGCAGACCCGAGTCAGTAGACCCTAGCCAGGTCAATTCGGAGACATTGCTGTCGTTGGTAAGTTGAGTCACTTTTCCAGTCTCTAGATCTAGCAGACTCCACCATGACGATGTAACATGGGTCTCAAAGGAGTACTCAGAAGTGGAAAAAAGCGCGACTTCCTATGTCAGGTCAATAAAATTGTCGATATCCACATACAACAGTGCAACTCACCCCCGATGGATTAGGAATAGCTTCACCCCGTCTCGGAGCCGTGATAAGCTCTCTATAAAAAAGATAAGCAAATAGCCAAGTACAATCAGTCAATCGGGTGGGGAATCAGCACTGACTCGGGAGTAAGGGCTGCCGCAGAAACAATGATCGACCCGAGGGTCGTCGTCAATTGAAACACACGCATATCGACAATCAGGTATACACCCACACAGCTCAAGAGTAACGTGCAGAGAACCAGACGGGCTGCATTTCGGACTGACACTGAAATATAAGAGTTGGGACTCCACACGCGCAGTGGGCTAGTATCCATGGCGGAGAGGGTACTGTGCCGGCAAAGGGGGGCATGTTACATTCTTCGGTGCCAAGACAGATATGCATGATGTTATTTTGTGCTATCTGCCGCTTCCAAGGCCTTAGGAAGACGTGCTATGAACAAAGAAAGGCGGATGTAGGCCGATATAGGGCCCGAGCAAAGTTTAGCTGCTTGGCTTGCAGCGCCAAGCACCACGGAGTCCGCCGCTGATAGCCGGAATTATAGAAAAACCTTAGTCATGATATGCTTTCCAAAGGTTGTTTTAGAAAAGACTGTTAGATGTTAGATTAATAGTAAACAAATGGATTGGTACGGGTTGTGATTGCCCCATGATCATAAAGAGGCACAAAAAGGCTAGAAGTGGCACCACGGTAAGCCCTAATGACCCCAACTGAGCAATATTTCCATTCTAGAAAATGCATATACGATTGAGAGAGGCCGTTATACCAGTATCCAATGAATTCAATTACACTCGCTATAGTGCGCCTGACAAAATCGCTTCAATACTCAAAGTCATCATCCACACCACCCTTGGTCGTAGTGTCCTTAGTGACTGCTTCTTGCTTCCGATACATCTCTGCCACAGCACGAGTGGTAGTGGCCTCATCTGGCTTCTTATCATCACGAGATTTAATATACCGCGGGAAACGGAGAGACACACCCTTTCCAGCGTCGGTTGTTCCTTGGAACTCATCCGCAGCGGCTTGGTAGCGGGGGCTGAGGGTCAAATCGGCTGTTTTCACTTCCCACACCAGTCTTGGCTCAAACCAAACATCCGGTTGGTCCTTGGGGACAGCCGAGTGAGTGTAAAATGGCTTTGGGCGGTCAATTACCAGGGGAACTAGCGTCTGGTGTAGCTCTTCAAGTAGCACTTCAGAGAAACCGGTGCCGATATTACATATGGTTTCATATGTGTCGTTGTTGGGGTTGTAGGCAGCGAGAAGGAAGGCACCATAAACCGAAGTACGTTTTCCACGACCATAATAGGCACCGAGTACGACAAGATCGAGAGAGTCACCGACACCGGCGAGGTAATCTTTTTTGACCTGTATAAAAGTTAGCAACGGTTGAAGTAATCAACAACAGAGGCACCATACCTTCAGCCAGTTACGACTCCGTTTGCTTGGCTCGTAGCCACTCTCTGCTGTGTCCAGCATCTTCACCATAAGACCCTCACAAGAAGCTTTAACACTGGCCTCGAGCAATTCTTGGATCTCATCGAGGACATTAGAGTTGCCATACTGGGCAAACTGGAACTCCCCCTCAATTGGTTGGAAGCATTCATGCATAAGCTCTCGCCGTTCTCGTAGAGACTTCTTCACGCAGGGCTATTGAAAGGTTAGCGAGAACAACCAGGTATGACTCAAAGCAACTGGGTATGCCTCTTTCTTCTCTCATCATCCCCGCTGTAAGTGGCAAAGAACACCGGATCGCGAGGAAAGAGAGAAGAGAGATCCAGCGAATCGCTCTAACATAGACATTAAACAAATGATCTTACCTCTCCATTGAAGAAAAGCAGATCAAAGGCGTATACGCAAACTTTGACCTTGACATCTTCCGCTTTGACATCTTTGCGCTTGCGAGTCATCAGCTGCTGGAATGGAAGAACCTTTTTGGCCTCCATATCCCATGCGACAGTCTCGCAATCAAGAACGAAGCTCTTAACGTCGGGTTTGACCCAGGTGTCAAGCTTGCCTAGAACATCGGGATACTTCTTTGAAAGATCTTCCGAGTTGCGGGAGAAGATTGAGGAGAGTCCCTTGCTGTCCTTTTGTAATGTGTCCAAGGCACCAGGATATTGGTGGATAGAATCCGGAGACACAAAATGGATCTGGGCTCTTTCTCCATCGTACTTATATTCGCAAGTGAATTCTTTCCCTTCG